CAGAGCAGCTTACGCCACGGGGACCGCCGATACCCTGGAGGAGCCTGCAGAAATGCTGTGCCAGTGCGAGATGTTGCATCTCCCCTGTGCCTTAGCACAGAGACAGTGATAACAACAAGGACGAGGGGTTATCCTGGAAGTACTTATCTTGGAAGTAGCATCAGGCAGCAAAAGCGCTTGGACCGGGAGCTGGGCGGTGGGGGAGAGACAGAGTTTGTGCATGTCATGCCCAATGTCTCTGGGAGCTGCCCCAGCACTTGCAGTCGAGCTCAAAAGAGCGAGAGCCAAAGCCGAGCTCTAGGAAGACCCTCCTGGAAACCCCACGGTGCTCGAGCCTGGCTTGTAGGCTGGGCAGGCACCTGCCTTCCTGAAGAGCATCTCGCAGCAGATTCTTCACTGCTGTGTTCAAAGGGGAAGAGGAAGCGCCCGGCCGCCCGCCCGCAGCCTCCTGGAGGGTGTGAGGTGAACCAGGGGCACGGAGAAGGGAAGCGGCCGAGGCCGGCAGCGCGGCTGGTGCTTCGCTGCCTGACCCCAGTGACACTAAGTGACAGCCTGACTCGCCTCTTCTGCGTTCTCCCTGTCATTAAACTCCCACTGCTCGTTTTGCAGAACCTGGCTATCGGTGCGGGTGCTGTCGGATCGCTGCAGCTGACCTATATCTCCAAGGTAATGTCGGGGTGGGGCGGAGGGAAGATGAAGGCTCCCTGTTGTCCCCTGATCCGTGCAGCCTTCCCGGGAGAGGGATGGCTCATCCCGGCAGCAAGGTCCCGCCCAGCCCGTGTCGTCCTCCCTGGATGGGAGCCTGAGCGGGTCTGCGGGACAGTGGGAGCATCCCTGCGGCACGGCCGATCCCGGCGCTGGGACCGGTGTTCGCCTTCGCCACGGACCAGCACGGGATGAGCTGGTGGTCGGGGTGTGGGAGGAAGAGGAACTGAGGCTCAGTCTCTTGTGTGTCTTGATGGCATTACCCGGCTTCCACGGGAAGGCGAAAACAGTGCAATAAATGACAGCCATCGCAGGGCTGGGGACTGGCACGCGTGGGGCCATGGCTGCGAGCACGGCCGTGGAAAGCGGAGCTGCCCCTGGGGAGCTCGCGGCTGGCCGGGCTCAGCTCCGTCCTGGAGCCGGATGGAGAATTGGACAGATCTCTCTGTTCCTGCTGTTTTTTTTTTATAAATTAAGCACAGATGAAGCAATGCCGGGAGGCTGAGCCTTCTGCATTTCAGAAAGAGCCTCACTTATAAATTATATATGTTTTAGTCTGAATGAAAATTGCTGTAGGACAGCATTTGGTCACAAACTGCAGGACTGGGTTATGCCAGCGGCTGTAACTACCAACTGTAAATATGCCAGAAAAATGGAGGTTTGCTTGAGAAAACATATTTAAAGCATTATAGACTGGCTCCAAAGGAGGAAGCCTGTCAGAATAAATACTCCATGAATGCTGTGCCTGGAGCCCCGGGGAATATTATCCTTATATAAACGATTCCTACTCTTTAGGGAGAAACCACTGCTATTTTCCTTCAATTTTCTTAATTGCTGACAAGAGCGACTGTGTTAGCCCAGCAGAAACGCGCGTTTTCGAGGCCTTTGAAAGCTTTCCGCTCGTTGCTTTGCAGTGCAGCCAGCGCTGGGGGGGACAGCGGCGGATGAAAGCCCCGTCTCCGCGCTGACCTTCCCCGGGG